CGGGCTTGGTGTAGAGTAGAAACAAGCTTCCATCTCATGCATTAAGTTTGGGTGACATCATATGGAGATAAAGGGCACAATAAATTGTACTGTTTTGAGGATCTGACGTTTTTCGAAGGTTTTATTCGGCAAGATGGCGAGCATTCTTAAAAATAAAATTTATTGCTATTGTCTAGGTCCATAAAAGATGTAACATTTCTGATTTGTTTAATTTTTCTTTCCAGTACGTACAGGTTAGTAAACGCATTTCTTTTTATTTAATAAACATAGGTTGAGTAATTTTATGTGCCAACTGCCTAAATGTTTGCAATAATATTGTGCCTAGTTGTCTTAGAGAAGATTGACATTGAAGATTTATCTTTTTTTGTGGCCATCGGTTAAGTCAGATTCGTCTGTGCCCGGCTTGTGCTTGCCTTCTGCAGGTGTAAGAATTCGTACGTTTCTTGCGATCGATGCCTACTTGGGGGCATCTTCCAGTGCACCGAGGACTCGCAGTGTCGTCGGACTTATCTCAGTCAACGCGATCTACAGGCCCACATCAACCACCGCCACAAACCCAAGTCCACCACTGGAGCTACAGCCGCCGCACCAGTCGCGGCAACTACAACGAAAACTAACGCGGTGCTCTCCGTTTCCTCGACCCCACAACCACTTCCCGCCTCCGCAACTGTCGTTCCGCCCTCCTTCTTTGTCTCACCACCTACAAATTTTAGCATCCCACCTCCGCCCTTCCTCTCCACCCCTCCTTCTTCAGTAGCACCGCCTCCCGCAAATGCACTCCTCGTCTCTCCATCTCTGTCTCAGCAACTGTCACATCGAGTTGCTAGCAGCGGTAGTGGCGAAACCAGTGGCAACGATGTGTCCAACTCGGCAGCTACCATCGCTGTCCTTGCTGCGGCCATTCAAGCTAACCCTTCGACCGTCGGTTTGAATGTTAGTCGTTGCAATATCTTTGTTAATGCGAATACGGGAAGTTGACATCCCATGTCAAGGCAATGAAAAATAATACCTTCCTGTTAATTTTTTCGCAGGGTTCGCCATGTTACGTATCAAACTCTAAAACGCTTTTTAACGGGTTGCTTGTAGCGCTTACATTTTAAACCAAT